AGCACATGAACGGGTGGCAGGGATGAATCACCAATTAAACGCAAAGCGTGACATCCAGAGGGTCTCCTTGGCAGAGACGCTCACCTCCTGCAGCTACAGAGCAGAGAAAGCTGCGGATGAGGGCGGAGCCGAAGTACAGGAGTAATGAAGCCCCAGGGAGTGTCGTCTTCCCAACCCAGGCAGGTTTGCTGTGCCGAGGCAGATGCCCTGGCAGGGGAGCCCCGGAACCCCCTTCCCCCGGGGCTGGAGCAGTGAATGCATTGGGAGACAGCCACGGTGGCAGGGGTGGGGGCTATGCATGGGCCCGGCAGTGGGCGCTCCAGTTCACCGGGTCCAGATACCACTGCACTGTGGCCAAACTGCCCAGCAAAGAGACCCATGTGAAGCCCCCACATAACGGAGTTCCCAAGGAGACCCATCACTCAGTGGCAAGGGGCAGCACCGGCCCCACGTCACTGCTGGAAGGAGCTGCGATTCACCCTGACTATAATCAACACACAGACCGGAGATGCGTCTGCCTTTTGGGGCCACACCACTGTGGGGCGGGGCACTGTCCTGGGGTAGCAATTTGCATACCAGTAACTCTCCTAGCTTTTTAAATGTTTTTTATTGAGTTGAGAGAGAGATTTGCTGTTCCACTTATTTATTCATTCCTTGGTTGACTCTCGTATGCGCCCTGACTGGGGATCGAACCTATAGCCTTGGTGCAGTGGAACAACGTTCTAACCAGCTGAGCTACCCAGCCGGGGTCTGTTGAAATTTCACAGAACATGAGCTAGATGCCAGGCTCTGTGTAGCTCCTGAGAATGCAGGGTCAGATGCAGTCTCGTCTTCGGTCATTTAACGGCTATCACAGGTTTCTTTTCTTCTTGGGACAGGACAGCAGAACTGGCACCATTAAAACCATTTCATGGGTGAGAAGATTCAAGTGGCTTTATAACTCAAGTGGCAAATGGTGAGTTCAAGGAGCTTTGTAATTCAGCGGCTAGTCTGGGCCCGGGGACCAGAGCTGTTCATTGTCTTTGATAGTCTGACTCAAAAGAAAATGTTTTCGTCCCGTGTTGATGAAATAAGTCCTGTGGATAGGTAGCATCTTAAAGGGTGCTTGATGGTGTTGAAAAGCAAAGAGTAAAATGGAATGAAATACAGTCTGGATTGCAGCTTTCTGCTTTGAGACTGTGAACGTCACCTTCCCAGTGTGAGTGAGCGATGGCTCACGTGTCGCATGTCTCCCGTCTCCCCCTCTGCCCCTGTGGCACTGCAGAGCCCGGGCCAAGTTTGCTGGAGGAGCCAGGCGACATTCGGGGGGCCCCCAAGAAGCCCCTCTGACACAGACATGCTGGATGAAGACTCTGCCTACAACAACCTCTTGTCTGAGATGTGCACGTTTCATTCCCATGCTATGACAACTTCCCAAACCCGCTTCCCACCGGAACCAGAGTTTGTGGCCAGGAAGGATGAATGACAGCAGCCACAGGAGGACAGGACAGAAATGAGATGGGTCGGTCCCAGCCATTCCTTAAGCCCCAACATCCACATTTGCCAGGGGGCGGGCCTATTTCTGTCCCACTGGGGAAGCTCCATCGGAATGGTTCAAATCACCCCAGAAAAGCAGAGAGAGCAAGGAGAGGACTGGGTGGACGGCCCCGGGGCAGTGCCAAGATCAAGGGGCAGGAGAAGCAGCACCAGGGGCTCCCAGCTTTGCACAGAGCAAGGGCTTGGGCGTCGGTGCGGTCCGAATGAGGCTGATGCCAGGAGGCTCGTCTGAAAGCTCCAGTGCGTCTCTGTTGGATGCACCAGCATGTGGTCCACGGCGTGCGGCAAGGCAAGAAACAGAAAAGTTTTGTGACAGTTTTTATTTGTATCCTAAAGTGAACGTATAATGGATAAATGGATATTCCATTTATCTCCTTGCACAACTTGCTCTGCACACGAGGGAGAGGCAGCTTGAGGAGGGAGGAGGAGGGGGGGGAAGAGCCCCAGGAAAGTGGTAATCCTGGAACCAGAAAGATGCGCGTTTTTGGGAGGAGAGAATGCACCACTCCACACGCCGAGCGACCAAAGATCAGAGAAGGCGACAACTTAAAAAAAAAGGAGCTTGTGTGTCATCGCTGACCTCCCAGGAGCATGCACGGTGTCGGGACAGACTCCAGACGGCAGGAGGTCTGAGGGGTGGACGGCCAGTGAGCTAAGTGGAAAGAGTGAGCTCGGCTGACACTCGCACAAGGTGCAGGTGGCGTGAGCAGAGGGGGCCGGGCTCCTGGCGCCCCAGGACCCCGGCGCGCGGAGAAAGTGCCTACTGTCACCCACATGTACGTGCGTGTCACCTGGGTTCCCACATGTAAGCGTCACATGGATGAATGACAGCATGTGCCTCTTGCTAATGAGTAACGTGTGGCTCCAAGGAGGGACCTCTTCGAAAAGTAAGCGAGACTGAGAACCCAAGTCTATTTTCAGAGTTGTTCTTTCCACGACAGTCACGTCTGGTGGAGCCAAGGGAAGGCTAACCGGTCATTATTATTAGAGAGCAGGGGTTGGGGGGGTGGTTCAGTATAAGCATGTTCACGTAGGGGGAGGAATAAAATCTCTCCCGCCCCAACAGTGAGTGCGTGTCCCACTTTCTGCCACTTCTGACATTCCCACCTCACTCTCCTTTTTAAAAAAATCACTTGTTTTTTAAGAGAGACAGAGAGAAGCATCAATTTGCTGTTCTACTTTATTTATGTGTTCATCAGTTGATTCTTGTATGTGCCGTGACTGGGGAGTGAACCTGCAACCTTGGCCTGTTGGGACAATGCTCTAACTAATGAGCTACCCGGCCAGGGCCCAGCTCACTGTCTTTAGTACCAGGACTCAGGTGTCCTGCCACCGGCCCCGTGTCCACAGAGGATGGGAGTGGGGTGGGCGTGCGGGGTGGTGGGGACCACAAGACCTGGGCCAGCAGAACAGTAAGGTTCTGAGAAGCACACTGTTTCCCACAGCATATGGTGAGCAGTGTTGGTTTGGGTTGTTGTTTTTTAATTAAAGTATCAGCGAAGGGTGAAGTCTGAGCACTCCCGCTCCAGCCATTTTCCACGGCGCCCTTCCTACCTCCTTCCCCCAGTGCAGGTGGCATTGACAGTATGTGACTTTGGTCACCTGCTGGCTGACAAGGTTCTGAGGGGAATGATGGGGCCCCGAGCACCCACAGACACCCTGCTCGTCTCAAAACAGAAACTGTTCCACAAAAGAAAGCTGATCTAGCCCATCCCTCTGCAGAATGATGACACCTTCTGAGTAGGGCTGCATTTCAGTATTTCCCCGAGTCCTTTATTCCATTACCCTCTTCACCCCCATCACGCAGGGGGGCTTGGCTGAGATAATCCCACGTGCCGGCCGAGAAATCAAAACGGGGCACAGTCAGGAAACCTCTCAGAGGCCCGATAACGAGTGACCAAACGCTGCAAATGCCCCCTGACCCATTGCTATTCCTTCCATCTTCAAACCCGAATGCACGTTAACTCTCGGGGGGCCGTGGAGGCTTTGGGGGGCGTGGCGGGGGAGGGGTGGAACGGGCACACACTGAGCATCAGATTGGTACCAGGGCACTGAACTTGGCCTTACACAAACCAGTTCACGTAAGTCACACACACCTACCCCGAATTAAGTCAAACTAACCACTCTAAACTAAATAAAAGTAATCATTTTGCAAAAAGGAAAGTAATTTATCCCTGATCAGAAATAACAGTGCTAGTGAGGGAAGGCCAGGCCCGGCATTAGCTCTTCCTGGTCTGGGAGGGGGGACCCGCTCCTGGGGACTGGGCAGCGGGGGCTGGCCCCCACCTCAGTGCATTCTGGGTAGAGGTGGGTCTGCAGTGTTCTCCCCACCTGCCCCTCCCGCCCCTCCCCCTGCAGGGGGATGGCAGTTTCAATGACGCCATGGACTTGAAAGCCACTGGATTCCAGGAGTGCACTACACACTTGCTCCTTGGGGGCTGGGGGGTGGTTAGAAATTAGGCCATTTGTCTCCTTGGTGATGCCCTCACTTAACCACTTGACACCCATCCCCAATCCTTAACCCTGAGGTCTGCTCCCTTTGATTCCCCCAGCAGATGTGGGGGACACGTTGTCACCTTCCTTTTTGGCCCTCTGTTCATCCGAAGCCTCGTCACCGTGGAATGGCCTCACGGCAAGGTCAGCGAAGGTCATGAAAACCTGCTCACCCGGAGTCCAAAGGTCTGCCTGGATGCCGTATGCTTCGGAGGCAGGCTGTGGACTCTGGGGCCTGGCAGAGCTCTGCCTGCCTCTTACCGGTGCTTCGGTCCCAGGCAAACGGGCCTCCCCTTCCCATCTCGCAAACAGAGATCTTGGAGGTAAATGTGCTTCTTTACCTCCTGTGTTGCAGAGAAGGTAAGGTACCAGAACACGCCGGCGTGTAGCCCTGCCTTGTGCCTAATCTGGACTTGAATCCCAACCGCCTCTCTTGCTAGCTGTGTGACCTTGAGCAAATCCTTGAACGTTTCTGGTCTTCAGTTTCTGTCTGGGGGGAAAAGGGCAAGGACCGTTGCGAGAATTCCGCGTCCTGTCTCTGCATCAGCTGGATCCATCTTGGCCTTCCTTCAAGACGGTTCGTTACTAAAGTACCAAAGTGTCCTTCACACCCAGAAGTTTCACCTCTCCAGAGCCCTCCACCCAGACCTGGGCTGTTTGAGGACACAGTCGCTGATTTTATGATGAACCCTAATTTCTCCAGCAAAAAAAAATGTATATATCTTGCACCGGTCATGAGCAGAGTGACGTTTTCTGACCAATAAGCAGGTGGCTATCCCGTTTCCATCTGCAGGCTTGACCTCCTCTTGCCCAGGGAGGGGACTTGGGGGGGGGGGCAGAGAGGCCTGATGTCACACAGTCTACATAAGGGCCTCCTGCAGGCGATTGGAAGCAGATGGAGGAATGAGTTAGATCCTGGCTGTGGGAATTTTTTTTTTTTGAGTCAGGCACAGACACAGCTGCCGAGCAAAATGCAAACTCCACAGAAAAGCCCCAGCCTCAGACCCTTCAAACAGAGGAAGAGTCTAGGTAAAGTTCTCCGGCGAGCATCTGGGTCAGTGGACAGAGAGGGGGCAGGCAGGACAGGGGCTTCTCTCGCTATTGACTTACTCCTTTGTACTTGAAACGTTTGCAGCAACCAGACAGGAGGAAGTTGCTGGAATCCGGGCCAAGTTCCCCAACAAGATCCCGGTAAGACTGCACTGTACTTTCTGAAAAGGCTGTACTGCTCTCTTCCTTGAAAACAAGCACAAGCACAGAAAACCCCCACTACCTCTCCCTGCTCTGAGGTTCCCAGGTACTGAGTCACACCCTCAGGGGCTGCAAACTCCCCACAGGTGGTCGTGGAGCGCTACTCCAAGGAGAAGTCCCTGCCTGTGCTGGACAAGACCAAGTTCCTGGTCCCTCAGGAGCTGACCATGACCCAGTTCCTCAGCATCATCCGGTAGGTGACGAGGTGCTTGTGAAGGGGTTGCCGGGTGCCTCCTTGGCCTTTATGTCCCCCTTTTTGCCTTGTTAGTTTGTTTGGTTTTTGAGGATGCGGTGTTCCAGGAGAACAGAGGGAAAAGCTTTCCTTTTATATTCCGTAGCGTCTGAGAGTTCCTCTATTTTAAACAGGTGGGAGATCCCTCAGATAACAAATCTAAAGAATGTAGAACTGCCAATATTTCTAAGAATTTTCTAAAATTGTCTCGGCTGTGAGCTAGTCCTGAGTATCTTTCCTGCCTGAGCATGTGGAACACCCAGTCTGAATTTTCCCAGGGAGACACGGAGCCTTTTCAGGGCACGTGTGCCTGGGGAGCGGGGACCTCTTCAAAGGGTAAAGGCACCCTTCGCTGCTCAGAGAAGAGGGACGGGGACGGTGTCTCCAAAAGACACTCCTCCCCTGGGACAGGGCGCAGCAAAGAAAACGTAGCTACTTTCAAAGCCTCGGAGGGTTACGTGGTACCTTCGGGTCCATGCCTTCAATACAAATGACTGTGAATACCGTGCATGGGGCCGGGTGGGTAATTCTTTACAGGCCTACAGTCTGGAGAGGCCGGCCCTTGGAAGCCTGAGTAGCTACTGCAGCTTGTTTTCCAAGAATTCATTGCGAATATATATTTGTTTCTGTTGTATTTGTTGTAATGAACCATGTGCAAGCATCCCGACTCCTCTCCTCGGAGCCTGGCAAAGCCCGGAGCTGGAGGCACAGGTGCTGGGAACGGAGCTTCCTCCGGGATTGAGACTTTGTCTGTGTGTTCTGCCATCAGGCTGTCTGTCCTCTACTCCGGATGAATCCCAACTCGGTTTGACATGTAAAGTGTGTCCCCTTGAACTTTGCTGCTTCCCTGTCTCCTTAATGCAAGGGTGAGGGGGCAAAGGGCGCACTGGGAGGCAGGAGATCCCTTCCAAAGGTCCTTCAAGGCTATTTAACACGAGATGCTGGAAGACATCGGGATCCCCTTTGTACCTCTGGGGAGATACCTTCAACCTCACAGCAAAGAGAGGCTCATTTATCAGCATTTTTGTGTTGGTATGTCTCTTGGTTAACACTGGGAAGGCCTCCCCCTTCTGGCCCAGCCGGGAGGCCTGTGGCAGCTTAATCTCCAAGGAAGGCGTCCGCAGCAGCTCCACCTTCCGGAGCGTCAGGCAGCTAAGGATGCCCGGGCTGCTTCCCAGATCTGCTAAACCGAAATCTCTGCGGTGGGGCCCAGGAATCTGCCGTTTCAACAGGCCTCTCCTGGCTGGTGCTCAACTCTGAGGAGGCCAAGCTGGAGCGAGCTTTGGGTTAACCTCTGCTTCCTGCCCTTCCCCTCCCCGCGTGCCAGGAGCCGCATGGTCCTCGGGGCCACGGAGGCCTTTTACTTGCTGGTGAATGACAAGAGCGCCGTCAGCATGAGCGCGACCATGGCGGACATCTACAGGGACTACAGGGACGAGGACGGCTTCCTCTACATGACCTACACCTCCCAGGAGATGTTCGGGGGCGCGGAGCCTTTGGCCCCAGGGATGGAGCGGCCCGGAGGGCGGGCCTCGCCCGGTACTGGCCCTCCCCCCCAGGGGCCGACGCCAGCAGGGCCCACCAGCTCCCTCGCTGACGTGATGGACAGACAGACAGCCGGGCCTCCCCGCGGAAACAGCGCCAACTTGACCGGAGGTGCCCGCAGCCCTGCTCTCTCTGGTGCGCACGCGCTGATCGCCCCAGAGAAGCGCGGCGGCTCCTGCGAGTCCTGCAGCTAATGAGTCTGTTCTGGGTCTAATGAGGTGCTTTCGGGGCGGGGTTTTGTGCGACGCTGGAGTCTGCCGTGGCCTGTCTCCCGTTGGCCTGAGTCCCGTGAGTTCGGTCACAGAGAGCGGCGCCTGGGGTGGGGTCTGGAACCCGGGAGCCGGCGTGAGCCTGGGGGCGGGGGTGGCGGTGGGGTCCTTATCTGAGTCATTACAGAAATTGTTATATTCTGCAGCACCCACGCGACGTGGCTATTTCCCCTGTATTCTGTGGTCTGTGTCTCGTAGCTTTATGCCAATGTTGTATCTTTTAAGTACAAAGTAATTTAACCCATCTGAGTGTTGGCTGTGTGCCAGACGTTAGCACAGTGACTCTGCTTCCACTCGCGCCCCCTCACAGCTCCCAGTGGTTAATTATCATTCTACGGATGAGGAAACTGGGCCTAAAAAGTCAGAAACGTTTGTATGAGTCACACCGCACGGTCTGCTGGGATTCCAAGCCACCTCCTAGCCCTCTGCTGGGCTCCTCACGTCGTTACTCCGCAGGCTGAGCCTGGACTGAGCTGGAGCCCCGAGCCCAGGGTAGGGAGGGTGGCCCGCAGGGGGACAGCGCAGCGGGGCCTGTGGGCTGGCAGCGGCGCCAAAGACATGCACCTGGAACCCGCGCCCGGAGCTGGCCCTCCTCTCGGCCTTCCCTGTGTCTTTGGTCCTTGAACCCCGGTATCGAAGACCGTCATCTCACTGCAAGTGCAGAGGTCCCACCCTGGGTGGTGGCTGGGTGAGCTATTGTGTTCTGTGTGGCGTCCAAGATCCTTCCTGAGTAGCTTCCCTGCTACGCCAGCCTCTGGCTGGATGTGACCAGCTCCCGCAGCCTTCGGTGGTGATGGGCTGTGTTCACTTTTCCACTCATTTGTGACCAACCAGCTGAAACACACTGCATTAGATCCTCATGACTTCATTATGTTTCCATGGGGTCTCCGGGTAAGGGTTTTAGAGTCCACACCCGTGTGCACACACACACGCAGATACACCGTGTCTGCAGCTGGTCTCTGACCGGCCGTGTGGGGACTCAGCCTGGAAGAACTGAAAGGCTGGGAGTGACCGGAACAGCTGGCGGCTGAAATCATTGAAGGCTCCTTACTGCTCTGATCTGGCTCCAGCTGGGCTGACTCACGGCCGCCGCAGCTGAAGCGGCGGACCGGAGTGGTTCCAGGTGGCCTCTCTCGGCGTGGGTTCCAGCGGCCCCCCCCCCCCCGGAGGAGCAGCTGGGGAGCACGGGATCCAAGAAGCCGAGACCAAAGCTGACCCGTGTGACAGTGATGAATTTCAGTCGAGTGAGGTCCAGATTTTTCACTTTAGTTTCTTAGCCTCTACTCGATAGTTAGAATTAATTGGCAATTTGGGCTGCAGTAAATTAGGACCACTTTTCTAGTAGGCCATTCCTCATTGCCTATTGATTCTTACAAGTGTGTACAATTCAGTATTAACTCTTTGTATGCCACATGTGTTAAAAAGAGTTACACGGCTCCTTCTGATCTTGCTTGTGGCAGACTTTCTTTCTCATGTAAAATGCCTTTTATTCTATGATCTTAACCTTTGTGGAGGATGAGGTTCATGGTCTTAACAGAAAGGCTCTCCCAACCCCAAATTATTAAAAAACGTAAACCTTCCCTGTGTTTACTTCCAGCATTATGATTTCGTTTTGTTTACATTTAAGTGTTCGAACCCACTGGAATTTATTTTGAAAACAGAAGTAAGTACCAAGGTCCCACTTTTTCCACATGCCTAACCCATTGTTGCGTGTGCCTCTAATAAATAATGTCATGTGCGGGGAGGGGCATAAGGGGACTAAATGGTAATGAAAAATGCCACAAAAATAAATCAACAATGAATCCATGGATCTTGAACTTGCCGTGACCATCCGTCTTCTCACCGTGAAAACCCCGCCTCCGTAAGAACAGAGGCTGTGTCTCTCGGCCTCCCCATCACTCCCAGCGATGCTCAGCACGTCTTAGGTGGCCGGTGAACGCGTGGTGATTAATTAGAGAGCCCCGGTGTCGACTTCAGGGGGAGACCGTGGAATGAATGGACTGGGTTCAGAGTTGTCTGCACCGTGACGAGGTCAGGCAGGGAAACCTTTTTTCCCCCTGTGCCTGTTGCAAAGCATTAGTCACCCTCTCCTCACCCCCAGAAAACCAAAGAGGGGACAGGTGAAAAGTGTGGCTGTTTATGTCACGGCTCACAGAGGGCTTACAGCTGACCCAGATTTCCTTGGCTGCCTAGACCAGAGGTCAGCCAGCTACTGCCTTGCGGAGTCCCACCTGGGGCCGGCTTTTGTGAGTACGGTGCTCGTGGGATGCAGCCTCACGCCCTGGTTACTATCATCATCTGCAGCTGCGTTGGGGCTCCAGCGGCTCGGCCGAGTGATTGTGGCGGCAGGCTTCACGCCGGCGAGGCCTAATGTGGGGGCAAGGGGGGCAAAAGTAAGTTAAATGACCAGCCATTATTCCCTAAAAGAGAAATCATAAGTAAGGATATGAGATGATAATAATAGGACAAATAATACAAATAAGGATAATAAAATAAATACAAACAGTACAAAAATAAATAATACAAGAATAAATCGTTTTACGTACTCACAGCTGTTAGCCCACTTCTGCCCACCCTTGTGTTTACCATCTGACCCTTTCCAGAAGTTTGCTGACCCCCAACCATAGGTTCACTGTTATACCTTTCCTAGAAGATATTGTGGAAGATAGAGCACAGGAGAAAGAAGTATCTAGTTGTTGTTCTGGTCCCACGTGGGACAAGAGGAAAAGCCTCTCCAGGTCTGCTGGGTTTGCTGACTTTGTGTTGCCACGTCCTTGGCTGGAGGAGTTTAATACCAAGTTCCCCACAGATGTCTTGGTGTTCGAGGTCACGGCTCCATTGCTACTCATCTTCCCCCTGCCCCCTTACCTTTCATGTGAAGAAAATACGTACGGGTGATTTCAAAGTGTGTGTTGCTTTCTTTTGCAAACTAAAGTAAATATGTACCCATTTCCCAGGGAACTCCCTCCAGGTTAGGAGGCCCGGAGCTTCCTGTAGCTGATGGGTCCAAGTCACAGGAGACTGGGTCTAGGGCAGGTTCCCCAATTTCCATGCAGTTGACTTTGGGCAAATAATTCTTTGTCGTGGGAAGCTGCCACGTGCATTGTGGGGTGTTTAGCAGATGCAACCGGCACTGCCCCCGACCCCCAACAGTGATACCAGGGATGTCTCCAGACATCGCCAAGGGTCCCCGAGGGGCTGAAATTGCCTCCATCCCAGAGCCAGGGTCCAGAGGTCTGGAGTCTACGCCAGACCCCACGTGGGGTCTGCAGGCCTGCAGCAGCCTTGCCTGGGACCTTGTTAAACGTGCAGCACCTCAGGCTCCTCCCAGAGCTGCTGGATCTGAACCTGGAATTGACCGAGATCCCCCTATGCGCGTTCGCCTTTGAGACGCACTGGTCCAGGCCTTTGGGGAGGGGGCACCGTGGCTGCATTCACCTCGCCGCCCTGGGAAAGAGTGGTTATTGTCCTTCATCTGTCCTTCAGTGCGGTGTCCTGCGAAGAGCCGGGCTTTTTCGTCAGACAGACTTGGGTTCAAAAGCAGGGTCTTCCTCTGTGGTCTGGGGCTCCCATCTGAAAAATCGCCGATTTTGAAGACCTGAGCAGGTTATTGTCAAAAGGTCAGCACACCTTTAGTATCAAGGTTTTCAAATAATTTATGTTATGTGAGTTTCTACACCATGATAAAACCGCAAAGGCGATTTCGGTCTAACAGCACTGTCCTTGGAATTCCTTCCTCTGTCCTGGAAACTCCCTCGAGTCAAAACCTGTCTCCCTTGACATTGAAGGCAGACCTGAAAAGTACCACCAGGGGGCGCCAACACCGCTTCACTAGATACAGATGGCCAGGCAGTTTGTGGCCCCATAAACATAAATACCCCAAATTTAAAGTCCCTAATGGGTGTATCGGAAACTTCTGAGAGGCTAGCTCTAGCCACAAGGGTGAGCAGATATAAAGGCACGAGCGGCCCCGGGTGGATTCGGGAAGCAGGGTTGGCGAGTGAGTACCCCAAACCATGTGGGAAAGGATGTCAGGAAAGGAATAAAAATAATTTCTAATAACGAGTCTCGGATGTAAATGTTATTTTATCCTTAGATGATGTCTGTTAACAACCGCTCTATTCAGAAAGTTAGCCACCACTGTGCTCACACATTAAGCTGTGGTATTAGAATGGCTCTTCAGTTACTGGAGTGGAATTGTCACGTGGGTGTCAACCGCGTGGAGTTGGGGATAAAGGGGCAGCTGGGATCTGAATGAGGGTGGGGGGTCAGTGGCCATGAGTCTCCCGTGAACTGATTCGGCTTCCAAACTAGCTTGATATGAAGAACAGGGTGCTCTGCACAGGGAGGGGGACAGAACATTTTCAACTGCTGCAAATGGCCAGCCCGATGCCAAAAACAAAACAGACGGGGTCTTGTGAATTTCAGTAGCATGGTCTCCTCTAGAGGCCCCACCTTTTCTGGGAGCAGCCCCTCATTTGGGCCTCCAAAGAGGTCACCTTTCTCCTCATTCGGTGCCTTTGTCACTTCCTGTCAAAAACTCCATACACCAGCTCATTCTTTCCAGTTTGACTTTTTTTTTTTTTTAACATTTCAGTGTCATTGCTCATGTTTTTTTTTTTCCCCCCACATCTGGTGTGTCCCTCCCCCCTCTAGGGACCAACTCCTCATCCTTCGAGATTCAGGGCAACCCCTTGACTTGGTTCTGTGCTCCTTCCCTTTTCATCCGTTTCACTCATTTCCTTGGGATTTACAGTGATTTTAGAGCTTTTAGTCAATATTGACTAAGATCATAAAAGATTTCTTATTTTTTGAAATTATTATTCCTACTTTAAGGACAAGGAAGCCAAGATGAAAGAAAACCAAATAATGTTCCTAAACGCACAGAGCCCGTGACCTTGCACACCAGTCTCGGCTTTGGATGA